TATCGTCATTTAGCTTTTTAGGGCTTTTTCAGTCCCTTGTGCTGTGTTTTATGAGTGAAGGACATACATTGGGTTGTTAGATTTTTGTGTCCAAATTTGGTGTCAATTCATCCAGTGGTTTTTGAGTTCTGTTACTCCCACAAACAAACATTACATTTTTATTTATATAGATTGTAATCCTCCCTGAGTCCACTGTAGGGTGAGAAGGGCAGAATATAAGTACTGTAAGTAAGCAAATAAATAAATAAATAAATAAAGCTTGAACCTGACCAAACAGACATTAAATAATCTTTTCTGGACCTGGGTTTCAAGGATTGTTTCTCACAGGTTCTTTCTGACCTTGCAGTTAACCTTTGCTTTGCTCTCTCCAAGCAGAGGCCTAATCTCATATCACGGGGCAACTCCCCATCTTCTAGAAGGCCAAGAAGGCTCAAGAAAAAAAATATCCTCTGTCTCTTCTGCAGCTGTAGGCCCTTCTCTCTGATCTATGGCTTGCATTTCTGTCTCTTCTCCAGTCTGACACAGACTCAATGAAAAATCCACCGTTCCCTCCATCCTCTGAGGCAGAATCCTCAGCATCCCCAGCATCTAGCTGCTGAGTTCCAAGAAAAAGTTTCCTCTTTCTCTCCTTGCAGGGTTGCCATATTCCAGTTTCCGAAATCCCAGCTGCCTATTTTACAACATATGTAAATTAAGAACTTTAATAGCTGCAATTCTTGTCTCTCTGGTAGACACCTAAGTGGTAAGCATGAAACCATTGAAGTCTAGAAGATGTTTCAACCATTCAGTATGTATTAAAACAAAGCAGTGTCATCTAGTGGCTGGTATGTTAGCAGAACGAAGAATGTTCCCCAAATTTTAGTACAGATTTCTAAGCAGCTAAGTGAATGAATGAATGGCAGGTCCTAAACCTTATCCTCCTAATAGGTTTGGAAACATTCAAGTTCAGAGTACAATTCAGAGCAGAATCACAGCTCTAATGTTACTGTACGATTTAGTAGGCTGGAACAAGAGCACCTTCCCATGGCCGGAAGTTGAGCACACCTCCAGACACCGGAGATGGAAAAAGGGGATGGCCTTTACCTTATCTGTGTACTGTACTGTATGTCTACTGTATGTGTACTGTATGTCTTTGTTTGTGAAAAATACCATTGAATGTTTGCCTTATATGTAATCAGCTCTGAGGAATCCCACTGGAGCATTGCAGCACACCCAAATACCTGGGAGTCACTCTGGATCGTGCTCTGACCTACAAGAAGCACTGCCTGAACATCAAGCAAAAAGTGGGTGCTAGAAACAATATCATAAGAAAGCTGACTGGCACAACCTGGGGATTATAACCAGATACAGTGAAGACATCCGCCCTTGCGCTGTGCTACTCTGCTGCTGAGTATGCATGCCCAGTGTGGAACACATCTCACCTCACTAAAACAGTGGATGTGGCTCTGAATGAGACATGCCGCATTATCATGGGGTGTCTGCGCCCTATACCACTGGAGAAATTACACTGCTTAGCCTGTCTTGCACCACCTGACATCTGCCAGGAAGTAGCAGCCAATAGTGAAAGGACCAAGGCAGAGACATCTCCAGCTCATCCCCTGTTTGGGTATCAGCCAGCACGTCAGCGACTTAAATCTAGAAATAGTTTTCAAAAATCTACAGAGACACTCGCTGGAACACCTCAGCAAGCGAGAGTCCAAAAGTGGCAGGCTCAAACCCGGAACCTCAACCAATGGCTGATACCAAATGAGAGACTCCCCCATGGGCACACAGAGGACTGGGTGACTTGGAAGGCGCTGAACAGACTGCGCTCTGGCACCACAAGATGCAGAGCCAACCTTCAGAAATGGGGCTACAAAGTGGAATCCTCGACATGCGAGTGTGGAGAAGAGCAAACCACTGACCACCTGCTGCAATGCACCCTGAGCCCTGCCACATGCACCATGGAGGACCTTCTTGCAGCAACACCAGAGGCACTCCAAGTGGCCAGATACTGACATGTCATTTAATCAACTACCAAACTCACAAATGTTGTATTTTATCTGTTTGTTTGCTTTGTTGTGTTAGAAATATAATATAATTGACTGGTTGATCTGACATGACAAATAAATAGCTCTGAGTTCCTCCGGGGAGATAAAGCATAATATAAATGAAGTGTATTATTATAGAGCCAGTCAATTTCTCCTTTGTCCTCAATACTGACAACTCTAGCTGGCAGCAATAGAGATCTCCTTGGCTTCAGGCAAGATTCTTTGCCAGCTGGAGCTGCCTGGTTTCATTCCCTGGTGATCCCCCATCCATGTATTAACTACCCCTGAACCTGCTTAGCTTTAGAGATTATCTTGAATTGGGCACTTTGGGGAGTTATGATTGTATTCCTACCTACACTGTGTCTTTCACACTATTGTCACAGTATTCTGATATCTCAAAACCTCCTGTGTGACTTTGAACACCCTTGTCTGACGAAGCTGGTGGAGCTTCCAAAGCTTGCATGGTGTATTTTCTGGATTTTTGGCTGGCCCAATAGAAGCATCACTATTTTGTGTATTTGGGATGTCACTGGAAAAGGATATTGTTGACATTCCAGAATGCCATACAGTTTCTTGGTAGTTGGAAAGTGCCATCTGCTGGTGTGATGGAGAAAAGCAGGGTTCTAGAATCTGTTTTGGGTTAATCAGTTGGTAAACGAAAGCTGTGGGGCTACACTGTCATATAATGCAGTTTGGAACAGCATTATATGGTCAGTGTAGCTATTATAAGGCAGTTCAGTGCAGGTAAGCTGCATTACATGGATCTACACTAGGCCTAGCCAAACTTCGGCCCTCCAGATGTGCTGAACTCCAATTCCCACAATTCTAACAGCTTCGGGCCCCTTCCTTTTCCCCCTCAGCTGCTTAATCAGGGTCCAAACAGTCCATACTTTTGGAAATAAAGCCTGACTGCTCATTGGAGGGAAGGATAGTAGAGGCAAAAAGACTGATTGATAACTGTAGACGTGGACTGTCTACAGGCATCACATGCAACTCCTGGAACTATTCTATCAGCACTGCCTCTGGAAAATCCTGCAAATCTCTTGGGAAGACAAGCAGACAAATGTCAGCATGCTGGAAGAAGCAAAGATCACCAGCATTGAATTGATGGTCCTCCGCCATCAACTCCGCTGGACTGGCCACGTTGTCTGGATGCCCGACCACCGTCTCCCAAAGCAGTTGCTCTACTCCGAACTCAAGAATGGAAAACGGAAAAGAGATTGAAAGATGGGCTCAAGGACAACTTTAAAATATCTGGCATAGACACTGAGAACTGGGAAGCCCTGGCCCTTGAGCGCTCCAGCTGGAGGTCAGCTGTGAGCAGCAGTGATATTGGAAAGTCTGATCTGGCCACAATGGTCCACGCCCTTGTTACATCCCGAATAGATTACTGCAACGTACTGCCTTTGAAGACTGTTCAGAAACTTCAATTAGTCCAACGGGCGGCAGCCAGATTAATCACCGGAGCGTCATACAGGGAGCACACCACTCCTCTGCTACGTCAGCTCCACTGGCTGCCGATCCAGTTCTGAGCACAATTCAAAGTGCTGGTTTTGACCTATAAAACCCTATACGGCACCGGCCCAGCATACCTGTCCGAACGTATCTCCTTCTATGTCCCACCACGGAGTTTAAGATCTTCTGGGGAGGCCCTGCTCTCGACCCCACCTTTGTCACAAGTGGGACTGGTGAGGACGAGGGACAGGGCCTTCTCAGTGGTGGCCCCTCACCTGTGGAATTCACTCCCCGGGGAAATCAAGTCGTCAACATCCCTCCTCTCTTTTAAAAGGAAACTGAAGACATGGATATGGGACCAGGCATTTGGGTAATCAGGCAGATTAAAAAGGTAATGATGACTAGAGTTGGAAAGGACTATGGTAATGCTAAATGGATTGACGGATTTTAGAACTTGATGAACGCGGGCGATAGAGCGGTTTTTTAGTTGATATTGTATTAATTGTATGTTTTTAACTATTGTGTTATTGTTATTGCATTTTATTGTAATTGTTGGCATCAAATTGTGCCAGATGTAAGCCGCTCTGAGTGTGTCTCACCTAGGGGGTGAGAAGGGTGGGGTAGAAATGTCCGAAATAAATAAATAAATATAGAATTTGAAGAGGTACGAATGGAGGGCGAAAGAGAGAAACGTGCCAAGAGGAAGGCACATCAAACCAACTCCAACTAGGACTGCCTTCCACCTGGAGACCAATGCCCTCACTGCAGGAGGCAATGCAGATCAAGAATAGGGCTCCATAGTCACCTACGGACCCACCCTGGAGGATTATCCTACTTGGACAACGAGGGATTGCCTAAGTAAAGTAAATAATACCTTCACTGCGGGAGAACATGCAGATCAAAAATAGGGCTCCGCAGTCACCTACATACCCTTCCATAATCTTGGAAGACAATCCTACTCGGACAACGAGGGATCGCCTAAGTAAGTAACATCTTGTCTCCTTATCTCTGAGCTGGTTGGGGAAGCGAGTCCTTAATTGCCGGCCCTGTTGATGTAGATTTAGTCTTTCTGACCTCAACAAACATTTGTCTTCTCCAATTTCCTTGGACAGCACTCCAGGTAACTTCCCATGGGAACAGCCTTCCCTGTTCTTCCGGGAACCACCAGGTGAAACCAAAACATTGCTGCTGGAAGATTCCAAAACATTTCCCTCTGAAACTCTCCCAGCATCCCCAACCTCATCTTCTGAACACTCAAAATGTGAGCAGGCCACAAAAGAAATGGCTCGAAGACACACATCAAACTATATACAAGAAGAGGGACATTTTTGTCTGGATTGTGAACTTGCACATTCAGTTGACTGCCATGAAATGTGTATTAAGTCATGCATCTAGTTGGACATTTGAAGACAAATATTGCCACCCAACCTTGAACTTCATAACACAAATGGAAATGTAGGCTATGCCACCCTGATGGTAGGGTTGAAGACATTGATTCAGTGAAGCTTTGCTTACCGTAATGGGGAAGTAGTCCTTCATATATCTCCAGACAGCCGAGTTTCGAATCAGATTGATCTTCCTGCCACCATTGCGTGGTTTGTCCCAGTCGTAGGCCCACCATGCACCGTAAAGCACACTGATCAACCAGAAGCGGGTGAAGACCAGGCCAATGAAGGTCACGATGCACAACGGAGCTGTTGAGGGAATGACAGTCTTTGAGAAAATGCCATGTCCTTGATACAAGGTGTACGAGGACATACCTGCTTATAAAGTTCGATGCCATTTGTGTCATGGCACCTTCCGACAAAATCCTGTTGTTGGGTGAGAGAGAGTGCTCTGGAAGTTCTCAGCAAGAGTAAAGGAAGGAACTGTCCAAAGTCCTGAACTCTGTTCCTCCAATATATTACAAAGATTGCATACAATTACCTTAAAGCAGGCATGGGTATTTTCAACGGTAAGCAAACAGTATTTTGCCACCCCCCCCCCAACCAATCATTGATATATATTTTCTGTTTGTTGTGGAAGTTCTGTGTGCCATATTTGGTTCAATTCCATCATTGGTGGAGTTCAGAATGCTCTTTGATTGTAGGTGAACTATACATCCCAGTAACTACACTTGCCGCACTTGCTCCCTTGCCTGGCCTGCTTTGGGTCCGGAGGTGTGCCTGAAGACCCCGGCGTGTGCACCAAAAGTCACCTCTTCTCCTGACTTTCTCCTCAGCCATTGGGACCGAGAGAGAGAGAGAGAGAGAGAGAGGTGGAGATGCCCACCTTTCCTGAAGGTAGGCGCAAAAACAAAGGAGGGAGCGGAGGTGGGAGATACCTCCAGCCAGAGGGGCTCTCTCTCTCTCTCTCTCTCTCTCTTGGTCCCAATGGCTGAAGAGAAAGTCAGGAGAAGAGGCGACTTTTGGTGCACATGCTGGGGTCTTCAGACACACCTCCGGACCTGAAGCGGGCCAGGCGTGGCGGCTCCGTCCCTTGGCCCATCCGCGGATTGGGGAGAGGAGAGGAAGCGGGTAGAGCACCGGGGGATCAGGAAAGGGAGCCGGTCATGGGGAAGGGATCGAACGTGGAGAATGATTGAGCGCCAGCTCTGCTCGCGCACCCAGTGGCCAGTTGGAGCAGGAACGAGAGGGGCTAGGCGAGGCTCAAGGGCCCGGCCCCTTTGGGAAGAGGATTGCCCGGCAGCGAGGCAAGAAAGCCGAGGCTCCCCCCGGACTGCTAGAGCTGTTGTGAGCTGAGGGGGCGCTCCTCAAGTGGCAGTCGAGGGGCATTTACAGAGGCGCCTCTGCGCCCCTGGCAAAAAAAAGTGTTCTGCGACCGCTTACTTCGTGTAATGGACGAGCCGCCCTGACTGCATCCCTCCAAGTGTTTTGGACTTCAACTCCCACAATTCTGTTGAAGTCCAAAACACCTGGAAGTGCGGAGTTTGCCTATGCCTGCAGTAAAGTTATATGTAGACGGTGTATATGAGTCATAAATGAATGCTGTGTTTGACTTGAGTCCCATCGACAAGATATTTCAATATACATACAACAAGTGTTCCATATTTTCAGGTTCCAATGTTGCAGATTTAATTATTGGCTGATTTTATTAATATTGTGTCTCTAAGCATCTCTAATACCTTCTTTGTGACTATGGTCAGCATCTTCTGGAAGTTATGTTTGAGGACCGGGAGAACTGTATTCATTCTATAACATAGATCAGGCAATTGCAAGCTTGGGCTTCCCAGGTGTTTAGGAGGCCAACTCCCACAATTCATAACAGCTAGTAGGCTGTTATGAATTGTGGGAGTTGAAGTCCAAAAAACCTGGAGAACTGAAGCTTGCCCTTGCCTGGTGTAGATGCACCTGAGAGATCTCAAGGCAAATCCAACATCCATCTTGCGAAGGGGATGTTACTGCAGGACGAACAAACCACTTGGCTATGGAATCTTGGGATTTGTAGTTTGAGGCACCAGAACTCTTTGGCAGAGAAGGCGACCTGTTAAAACTACAACTTCCATGATTCCACAGCACTGAGCCATGGCAATTCAAGTTGTTTCAAACTGCATTCGTTCTACAGTGCAGATGTAGACATGGATAACAAAGCTATAAGAAACACATGAAAGCATTATAATTGTGGATGAGTAACATTTCACACATTGATTCAATGCCAGTTCCTTTGGCTGTGTTGTTTTATGACTCTTGAAAACCCAAAGTGCATCTTATTAGCTGATAGCATGACCTCGTTCTCAGTCCAATTGACTGATGATTAATCAAGGCAGAGATTAAATCTCACATCATTCCCTCAATGGCAGGCGGCAGCTTCTATATACTGGGATGGAGAGTCCACTCTGGGTTTTAGCCCAAACCTGAAAGGAGCAATCTATCTTAGGACCATAATACCTTGGATAAATAACAACAACAACAACAGGTGTGTGCTGTGTACAGTGTTCCCCCACTTATTGCAGGGGTTACGTTCCAGCACCACCCACAAAAAATGAAAATCTGCGTAGTAGGGACTATACACACACACACACACACACACACACACACTAGCTGTATCTGCCACATGTTGCTGTGGCCAACCTTTCCTCCCTCTTTCTCTCCTTCTTCCTCTCTTTCCTTCCCTTTTTTTCTTTCCTTCTCTCCTTCGTTCCTTCTCTTCCTCTTCCCTTTCTCCCCTCCTTTCTTTCCCCTCCTCTTTCTCCCCATTCTTCCTTTTCTACCTATTCTTGGACTGCAACTCCCAGCAGTCCTTCTGATTGATCAATCTACCTAACTACCTATCTCTATCTATTCTGTCCATCTGGGGGATTGCTGGGAGTTGCAGTCCACAAATAGGAAATTGGAAATATGCAGGGAAATATGCAAGAAATCCAAGGAGAAGAAAACTTGCAGTTTGGAAGCAGTGCATTTGGATCATCATCCTCTTCTAAAAGGCTTGGTCTAGGGGATGCTGGGAGCTGTAGTCCGGAAGAGAGTGTGGATATATCAATGTGTTTTTTGTTTGCCAGGGGAGTTGTTTTTGCGCATGCGCTGTAGCTTCTTTTTGATTTTTTGGATTTTAAGTCTCATCTGCCGTGTATGTGTGTATATATGTGTGTTTGTGTATATATGGGTTTTGTGCATGCATTGTAATGGATTTTTGGGGGGTTTTTTTGTCTATTTACATCTCTTCTGCTGTGTTTTCAGTGTTTTTATGAGTGATGATCACTCGTTGCCCTGATAGGTGTATTGTGTCCAAATTTGGTGTCAATTCATCAAGTGGTTTTTGAGTTATGTTAATCCCACAAACGAACATATCTATCTCTATCTCTATCATCTCTATCTCTATCTCTATCTATATCTATCTATATCTATATCTATATATCGCATTCTGAGGGCGAGGCAGAAGCAAGGGGAGATTTAAAGCCACTACGCATTTTTTTTGCTAGCTGTAAGGAAGGGGCTATAAGGCTGTGATTTACATACTGCTTTGTATCTCCTCTCTCTCTCTTTTTTATGATTGGCTTCTTCTCTCCCGAGGGGGAGGGTGAAACCCCTTTCCTCACTTCATCATTGCCAGGTGGCAAAAACCCACAAAACAGTGAGTCTGCAAAAAGAGAACCTAGAATATTGTGTCCAATTCTGGGCACCACAATTGAAGGGAGATATTGACAAGCTGGGATGTGTCTAGAGGAGGGCAACTAAAATGATCAAGGGTCTGGAGAACAAGCCCTATGAGGAGCGGCTTAAGGAGCTGGGCATGTTTAGCCTGAAGAAGAGAAGGCTGAGAGGAGATATGATAGCCTTGTATAAATATGTGAGAGGAAGCCACAGGGAGGAGGGAGCAAACTTGTTTTCTGCTTCCCTGGAGACTAGGACGCGAAACAATGGCTTCAAACTACAAGAAAGGAGATTCCATCTGAACATGAGGAAGAACTTCCTGACTGTGAGAGCCGTTCAGCAGTGGAACTCTCTGCCCCGGAGTGTGGTGGAGGCTCCTTTTTTAGAAGCTTTTAAACAGAGGCTGGATGGCCATCTGTTGGGGATGCTTTGAATGCAATATTCCTGCTTCTTGGCAGGAGGTTGGACTGGATGGCCCATGAGGTCTCTTCCAACTTTATGATTCTATGATTCTATGAAATAGCAAGGAAACACTGTGTATCCACATTGCATTCTGTATAACACATGACAATTACCGAAATGTATAAGCTATCTACTTATATGGTTTTTGACACTATAATGTGATTGTGAATTAGATATCACATGCTTTAATGCTTTTATGTGTAATAGAGATGTTGGGTGATGTTTGAAGCAGCTTACCAGCAAATAATAGCTTGGTAGCAGGCTGGTAGAGCCAAATCTCATTAGTTAAGAATGGAGGCTTATCTTGTTAGGCTGAGTGATAGGCTTTGTTATGGTAGCAAAGTAACTAAAATGTCTTTCTCATGTGAAACCCAGAGAGAGAGAGCTGAAGATGTTTTAATTACCTGGGGTTAGAGTTATATGAGATCTTTTCATTAATTTGTTGAGAAAACTTAATAAAACTAATTTTTAAAATGTGTGGCTGCTTCTTATGTCAACGTGATCCCCAGCTTGCAAGGAGGGGCATCCGCACACAAGCTCCTTTTGTCTGTTTGGACAAAAGAAGCACTCGGTGCCCATTTCGGTGCAAACTGTCACCTCTCTTTCATTAGCAGCTCGCTGAAGAATGCCAGCTTTTCCCAGAAACTAGAAAGAAAAAGTCTCTGGAGTCCCGACATCACAAGCTTGTCTGAGGCCAGCTGCCAGACCTTTGCGTGCTAAGAGGGCGAAGCAATTGCCTACTGCAAGAATGAATCAGCTCTTCCATTCTCCTGCTGCACGCTGTTCATCTGGGCAGCCTCCGAGGCCTGGGCTTCATCTCCATAGCCATGGCAACAGCAGACAGCGGCCACCACGGAGCCCATCTGCTAATGGGCAGAATGGTTGGCACAGAAGCCCCGACTGCCAGGCAAACAGAGGGATGCTTTCAGCCACAAGGCAGACTGGCAGATCTGGGTCTTGGGCACAGAAGGAAGGGATAAGCAATGTCATTTCTGAAGACTACAAATCCTGAAACACTCAACTGCAATAAGCATAAGCTCTTATGGCTCTTATGGCAAGGAGTGACTGGGCACACCTGGAATATTATGTCCAGTTCTGAGCATTACAATTCGAGAAGCATATTGACAAGCTGGAAGGGGCTGAGGGAGCGGGCCTTCTCTGTGGTGGCCCCTCGGCTCTGGAACTCGCTCCCCAGAGAAATTTGGC